GGTTGTGGCGGGTTTGCTCGGGACTCGCTGGTTTTCTCCTGCCCAGCGCAGGAGATCTCTTGGGTGAGGCAACCACGGGCCCTGGCGGTGTCTGTGTGTGCGAGGGGGTGGTAGCTGTGCAGCAGATCCCCCCGCTAACCCAGTGCCACAGCTCAGGGAGCCTCCTGCCTGCCAAGGCACTGGCAGCCTGCCGGGAGGGGAATTTTGTACATTTTTCTCTGGATGAAGCCTGGGTTGCTCACAGCGGCCAGATGGGAGTCATCATATCCTGAGCCGTCAGCGTGGGAAGGAAGGGGAGCCATGCTGCCAGCGTTATGGGGTGGGAGCTGCTGGCCTGGGGGGGGCTCTCAGTCCCATGCGGCACAGACCTGCCTGTTGGCCTGATGCGGCTTTTCCAAGCAGCTAATGGGCCTCCCAAATCCCTCTCCGCACCTTGTCAGCTGTGTTTTGGCCCAGGTTTCTCCTGTCGTACCCTGTAAGCTCTCCTGCACGACACGACCTGCGGGACCGGGGTGCCTCTCTCTGCAAGGGAAGTGCAGAGGTGAAGGACACAAGCACCTGCAACATGGCAGAGCCTCGGTTGCCTTTAAGACAGGCCGAGTCTTGTGTGGACTACAGGTCCCAGCATGCTGCTGCTTGCCAGCCTCCTCCAACGCCTACCTGGCAGGCAGCGTGCTGCGGGCAGGCAGGGATGCTGCAGCGGGCCGCAGGGCAGGAGGGGCAGAAAGAGAGACAGGCGGCCGAGGGCCGTGCCTAGGCGGGGTCTGTGGGCTGCCCTCCAGGAGCCATCTACACCTCCAGGAGGTGTAGATGGAGCCCTGCGAGAAGTGACTGGATACCCAATGCTGCACCAGCCAGACTGGAAAAGGACAAGGCAGGCCTGCGGCTTCTCCCGGACAGCTAATCCTGCTCTATGTGAAGAGGGAGGGAGGGACGGGGTGGGGGAAAGGTCTCTTCTCAGAGGCCTCTGGGGATGTGTCTCCAGAGCTGGCCATCCCAGGGTGGTGGCAGGGGCCAGACTCAGCAGGAGGTTTTGTGTCGTGCAGTGAGGGGGCAAAAGGGAGGGGTGAGCAGTGCCAGGGCCTACCAGGGATGTTCTGTGCTGGACCTGGAAATGCTGCTTTCCAGAGTGACGCAGGAAAGGGCTGCAAGAGCCCTAGGGAAGAGGGAATTGGAAATGGAGGGTTTGCGTGGTTCTGACCAGAGCAGTCACTGAATGAAATGTCTTTTGTCTTGCCATGCCCTGGGCGTTGGATGGACAAGGGGATGGCAGGGGAGGGACACAGCCCACATGCGCATATGCGTTGCTCGCAGTGCGAGGATTGAGGGCAGAGAGCTGCAGGCTCAGAAATCTCTTAAGAGCCTGCAGTGGAGTAGCCAGGCAGCTGGGGTAGAGCAGCCTGGGTAGCTCATAAAAGCATTTTCCCTTTTGGAGGAATGGGCTAGGCATCCGCTGGCCAGCAGCATACGGCCCCCTGTCTCAGCTGAAGACCTCTGAGCTGCAGGTCTCTGAAGCTGCTGCATGATGCTCTTGCCAGTTGTGGGCCTCTGTTTGGCTCCCAGGCCTGTGGAGAGCTCACCCAGAGCGGGGGGTTAAAATCAGTGCCTTCCTGCCCGTGGGCCTCACTGCCCAGTAAAACGCTCTATTGGTTTTCCAGACGGAGAGCAACTACAAGACTTGCTGGACCCTTCACTGAACCACGCCGCACAAGATGACAGCAAGAGACGGGCCCCAAGACAGGTAACGCCAGGCTCCTGTGTGGGTGTGGGGGCATATCCAAGATACCAGGAGAGCTGGGGTGACAGGGAACCAGCCTACCCCCTGTCCTGCAAGTTTTCTGGGCTACAGAGCTATGATACCGAAGGGCCCACCCATGTCATGCCCCTCAGGAATGCCACATCAGTGCAAGCTGGCAGATAGATGGAGCAGAGGTGGCTCCGGGCCCTGAAGCCCCCAGCCCAGCCTGGTGTGCCCTGCTTGCTGCCCGCTCCCTTCAAGCTGTGGGCTAGAGAGCATGTCAGAGCTGGCTGCGCCAGGCCCCACCCCACTGGCACTCTGCTCTCCGGATCCCCCTGCTCTGACCCTGGCTGTGGAATCCCTTTCCCCAAGACGCTCTCACTGTCAGTTTTTCCATAGCAGATGGGCTGTAAACAATCAGTGCTGGGACACGGCGCTGCTTTTGCTGAGTAGTGTGTCTCCTTCCCAGCTCTGGCAACAGTTGTTATGCATCTGGGTGCCACGTGCTGAGGAGCAACCAGCCTCCCCCTGCTTTCATAACCTGCTAGGAAATGCCACCAGGGCCTGGGGAAGGGCTTCTCGCAGCCCCTGTGGAGGGCTGCATCTGCTCAAGAGAGCCTAGGGCTGGGCAAGCAGGAGCTGCGGGGAACTGGTGAGGGCCAGGGGCAGAGCTAGGGGGAATAAATCCCTTGTGCCATCCTGGTGTAAATCTCCTTGCTTTTTAAGAGCACTGGTCCCTCAGATGACACTAAGTTCTGAATTTCTGTCCTCACTCCTCCTCCTGCTCCTTCCTACAAATGGGTCAGGGGATGGTCAGGAAAAAAGGTGATACTTGTCCTCTGTACTGACC